AGAAAGAAAAGGTATATTTAAACTATAATTAGTTCTACCATTAAATTTGTAATTAGTAAAGTTTGCTTTGTGTTTTATCTCATGCAGAGGAGAAACCACTTGTTGCTCTATGTACGAAAGCTTGTGTTAGGTGCTGTAGTGTTTAAAAGTTTGGCTTAGAGGGGCTTCCCTGGAGGTTCAGTGGCTAAGACAATGAGCTTCCACTCAATGCAGGGAGGGGATGGTGAGGATTAGATCCCTGGGCAGGGAACTAAGATCCCACATGCTGTGGGGTGTGGCTGGGGTGGTGGTGGTGGGAAGATTGACTTAGAATATCAGAAAAAGAGGTAAGCTCTTAGAAAATTTGGGTTGAAAAATGTTATGTAACAAAAGAAACAATTCAGGGATTTTTGGTAGACTCAGGGTTGTGTGACCATCATCACAATTTTAGAACATTTTCATCACCCCAAAACAACCCTGACGCCCCAAGCAGTCGGGCCGAGTTCCCCTTCCTCCTGCCAGCCACTGGCAACCACTCATCTACCTTCTGTCTCTGTGTGTTTGCCTATTCTGGATATTTCAGGGAAATGGAATCATGCGGTATGTGGTCTCTTGAGACTGGCTTCTCTCAGTGTAATATCTTTTAAGTTCATCTGTGTCGTGGCATGTGTCAGGGCAGGCAGACCTTGGAGGTATTGCAAGTTTGCTTCTAGACCATGGCAGTAAAGTGAATATTGCACCAGAGAGTCACACTAATTCTTTGGTTTCCCAGTGATTATGAAAGAACCTGCCTGCAGTGTGGGAGACCTGGGTTCAATCCCTGGGTTGGGAAAATCCCCTGGGGAAGGGAAAGGCTACCTACTCCAGTATTGTGGCCTGGAGAATTCCACGAGTCCATGGAGTCTCAAAGAGTTGGACACAACTGAGCAACTTTCACTTTCACTTCACTTTCATGTTTATACTATTAATCTGTTAAGTATAGTATGTAATCTACTAAATGTGTAGCAGCATTATGTCTAAAAAAGTATACGCGTGCATGCTAAGTTGCTTCAGCCATGTCTGACTCCTTGCGACCCTGTGGACTGTAGCCTGCCAGTTTCCTCTGTCNTTTTTTTTTTTTTTTTTTTTGCTGCTCTGCATGGCATGTGGGATCTTAGTTCCCCAACCAGGGATCAAACCTACATCCCTTGCATTGGAAGTACAGTGTCTTAACTGCTGGATTGCAAAGGAAGTCCCTTCATGTCTTTTTAAAGTATTCAAAATGATGCTTGAGGGAGCAATATCTCACTGAGAGGAATATATCGGGATGGAGGAAAATGGAGCGTAAGCAGTTTGTAAAGTCAGTTTAGAAACAGCCCTCTTTTGATTTGATTTTAGTTATGGTATTTAATTTGCTTTGAAGTTTCCAGCAGCAAAAGGTTTTTCTATTTCACCAGAAACATTTATTTCTTTGGGATAGTCCTGTGTTACATTTTGGAACTCAGAGGTTTTTAACCTGTGTTCTGGGGAAATGCTCAAAGACTGGGGACAAAGAGGGTGAGTGGCAGGGAAGGGCCAGAGGGTGGAGGTTTTCAATTTTACGTGTTTTACTTGCTTCACTTCAGGGAACAGTTTTCTTTCCACAGTACCACAGTTAGCAAACACTGAAAACCAAACCTCGTTTTTTTTCATTCCTAGCATATTTTTCTGAAATATTTACACAGCCCTCAGAAAGTAGGTTTTCAGGGTTATAAAGAAACAGTAAATGAGGATATTTCTCCACAAATGTTTGCAGGGTATGTAGTAATGAGGGAGCGAAATTCGACCCTCTTTCCTAAGATGTCTAATATAGATAAGATGGTTTTTGTGTAAGTTATAGGATTTGAGTTCATTTTCCAATGGGGGAGATACACTTCCTGAGACTAACTAGGCAATCAAGAATGGAGGACAAAAAAAAGGATAAAAAAAAAAAAAGAATGGAGGACAGGGCTTGGTTTGCAACAGGATTTCAACAAATACGTGTTGAGTGAATGAGTGGAAGAGCCAAAGAAGTGTCTTGAGTCTTCACTTTGCTCCAAGAGGCAGAGGTGTGGTCAAGGGGATTCTTTCATTTTAGGACTGAGATTTATGTGAAATCCCACTCTCCCAGATTTCATCAGACTACGAGGTTACACTTTCCATTGGTGCCGCAGTCATAATGATTTGGGCCTTTAAAGAATCCTCCTACAAATGCAGGAGATGCAGGAGATGTGGGATCAGTCCCTGGGTCAGGAAGACCCCCTTGCAGAAGGAAATGGCAACCCACTCCAGTATTCTTGCCTGGAGAATCCTATGGACAGAGGCGCCTGGCGTGCTACTCCATGGGATTGAAAAGAGTCCAACCGGACTTAGAGACTAAACAACAACAACAGAGCACATATCTTTCGAGAATCACTAACAGTGCAGTCTAAATCTTTATTTAAACTAAACGTCTCCCCGTGATGAAGATAGCATTTTATTACTTTATTATTTATAATACTTTAGCTCCTAGGGGCTAACCTGCCTAGGATTTCTCTTTTCCAAATAAAAATCTTTAGTTAGCTTTGAAAGTTCAAAGAGCCATAGTAGTGGTCTTCATAGAAACAGAGAAATATTTGTCCTAATGATGAATCTATTTCCAACCTCCTACAACATAAAGAATATCCTTCATTTTGGAATTACTTTGCAGAAAGTCTTCAAGTTCTTTCTACCAACTCACTAGGATTTCCCCTTTTCCTATTTGTTTTAGCAAATAAAACCTTTGCCAGGCATGCAGCTTAGGATGGGGACAACAGATCATCTCTGGTGCAGCCAAGGTTAATACCTTTTCACTGTTGAGGAGCATCATGTGGAAAACTGTTACAGGTTCTTGACATCAGAAATAAGATTCCTGTATTGATGTTCTTCTGCACCTTTATCAAAACTCTTTTGAAGGGAATGATAGAAATGATAAATAAGAATTCAAAGCAAGACCCTATCTAGTCAGTTATACATATTGACTTGTTCTTCAGATCATCTATGTATAAGATTGTCTTTGTAGCTTGATGTGCGAGGATTTAATTATGAATTGCTAATGGATGAATATCAATTTGTCTATATAAATGGGAAACCTGGGTTTAATCCCTGGGTTGAGAAGATCCCCTGGCGGAAGGCATGGCAACCCACTCCAGTATTCTTGCTGGCAGAATCCCAATGGACAGAGGAACCTGGCGGGCTACAGTCCACGGGGTTGCAAAAAGTCAGACATGACTGAGCGATTAAGCACAGCACAGCACAATGGATGAGCATCAATATGTCTTTATAAATAGGTCTTGGACAGGAGGCAATAGACATTTTGACAGTATTCATTAAATAGATGTAGAATTGCTTATCAAATACATGAAACTAATTTAGAAACCTATCAATTGAGTCGTCTTGATTCCAGTAAGGAATAAATTATTATTGACTTTCTCCGACACTAGAAGATTGGATTAGACAATTATGACCATTCCTTTTAGTTGTAAAATCTGTGATTTTGTGATTTATTTTCCCTACCAGGTAAAACTGGTAATGGATGTCCTCAGGAGTTTTAAACAAGATCAGATATGGAGCCTGGAAAGTAGCCACTGTTTGTGTGACACAGTTAATTTGAAGAGATGAAAAGAACAGGAATAGATGATCTGATGGGTGAGGGATTTGGAGGCATGTCTCTTTTTACTTACATAAGTTTTATGATCAATTTCTTTAAGATAGTTACATAAGAAACTGTGTGTGTATGCTGTCACTTCAGTTGTGTCTGACTCCTTGTGACCCTGTGGATTGTAGCCTGCCAAGCTCCTCTATTCATGGGATTCTCCAGGCAGAAATACTGGAGTGGGTTGCCGTGCCCTCCTTCAGGGTATCTTCCCAACTCAGGGATCAAACCCACATCTCCTGCATTGCAGGTGGATTCTTTGCCGCTGAGTCAATGGGAAGCCCATAAGCCCATAATTAAATAACATTTAATGATTAATGTTTATTGCTTAAGCTAAGTTTAGAGGCGAGAACCTTAAACATTTAATCAGAAGGATAGGTTCAATTCACAGCTGTTTCTTAATACGTGTGTGACTTTTCCCAATTAGATTAAGTACTTTGAGTTTCTATTTCTTTATCTTTAAAACATGTGTTGACCCTGAGGTACCTTACTCTCCAATTATATTTAATCAACAAGTATTTTTTTGCAGACTTTATATCCCCCCCCCCCCCC